AAGGGCGAGCATGTTGGTGGTGGTACGGAGATGCGAACCCGCGACCCTCAGATTGCGAGTTGAGCGCCCTAACCACCTGGCTATGCCGGGCCCGTTGAGAATGTGAGAATATTTTTGATTATTAAACAAATTTTTTTCAAGTGTAGCAATTACAAATATAACCCATGTAATTAACATTGAATTAAAACAATAAATTTGCTGCAAGTCTAAGTGAAAAAAATACGTACGCTGTAGGACACGATTGGATTTATGTCACTAAAGTTTTTTAAATGGTGTATATTTTTGTTTATAATTTGAACTTGAGGCGTGTGTATCAATTTTAAATGTTAGAGATGCACCAATACCCACATACCTTATACTTTCACTTAGAAAAAGTGGCATAATTGCCATCCCAAGACCAGTACCAAAAGAGATAACAATTTCCACTAATTCTCGTTTTCGTTTGAAGTACTGGCCAATCATAAATGTTGAAGCATCTCGTGTCATACTAACTCCAAAACCCACAAAGACTCCATAGCTGAGAAATAGCTGGTGAAACTGTGAAGCAAATGATGTGAAGAGACATCCAAGAGCTGTTATCAGACCCCCAAGGACGGCTAACAACCTTGTGCTCTTCCGCCGACAGATGGCCATCATCACAGGGGAAAGAAATAAAGCTACGCAGGTAGAGAAGGCTCCTATACAAGCTGTAATAAAAATGAAACAAAATCACTCTTTTTTATGCTAATTAAGTAGAAAAACATTAAAATGTTTTAGTCAATAAAACTTAGCTACATTTCAAACTATGTGCGAAACAATAATAGTAGGTTATTTGTTGAAATAACCATTTTAGAGTTTAATATTTAAATATTGTGTTTATTAGGTATTAGAAATTATTATTATTTTTAAATATAAAATATTGCAAGTTCTTTGTTCAAATCACTCCACCCCCAAAGCTACTTTACGGGACTATTTTTCTATGTCTATTTCTTAAGGTACTTTTAACCCATTAATGTATTAATTACTAGTTTTGGGCTTTAGGACAAACTAAGGACCTAAAACTTAGATGAACTTGAAAATAACACAAAACAATTCACTTCCAATTAATTATGCAAATTATTTCATTAGTATGCGCATATTGATGAGCTCGGATTCAGATTATCTAAAAAACACAATATCTTGGAAACCAATAAAACTATCCAACTATATTATACATCAATTTAAAGCTTAAGAAGAGAAGAAGCATGAATCTAACATCACAAATGTCGGACTATCACAGAAGAAAATAAAAACAAAACACATATATATATATATTCGGCACTACAAATCAACCCTCCAATTACATACCTCTTGTAGTTAGGTTGTAACTTTTTACAACCATGTTTGGTTTTATTCCCAGCCTCCGCTACATTTAGATATTAGCTTTTCAATGTGCTGGTTCCCATGGAACCTTAGTTTTCTTCTTCTAACATTCTTCTTATTTGTCATTGAAATTTCTCCATTTTAGAATGTAAAGAAAATTCATCCAACCCTTTAAGCTTTTTAGCAGTAAATAAAACCCTGCAGTGAGATATTTTACTTCTAAAAGACAAAGGAGTGGATGTAGTAGCCAGAGAAGTATCAGATGGAATTGAACATTGTTCATTTGAAGCTTTGTTAGCTTCACCGGAATGAAATTAGCAAACAGTTTCAGCGGTATTATAGTATTTTCCTCTTTTCTTAAGCTTTAAATTGATGTATAACTTAGCTGGGTAGTGTTATTAATTTCAAGATATTGTGTTTCAGATAAGCTGAATCCGCACTTATCAATATGTGCATACTAATGAAATAATTTGCATAATTCATTAGAAGTGAATTGTTTCGTGTTACTTTCAAGTTCATCAAAGTTTGAGATCTTTAGTTTGTCCTTGAGTCCAAAACTAGTAACATATACATCAATGGACCTTAAGTAACACACATTAGATCAGTGACTTAGAAAATAATAACTGGGATATGACATTGATTGGTTGTTAAGTAAAATGTATCTCTGATAATTCTCCACGTGATTGTGCACATTTCTATTAAAACTAGTGTAAAATAAAACTACACTCATACTTGTTATAGTCAGTATCAACTAAAGCGTTGTTTGAGAAACAACAAGAATATCTCGCCTTCTAGTGGCAATGAACAACGCAAATACCAACTTATTGACGATGTATGCACAGAACTCTTAATACGACGAGAGTTATAAGATTTGTTTGGTTGTTTATGTGATAAAAATGTTAACAAGTGATGTTTACCCATATAAACCATGATAGCATAATCTTTCATTAAGCCTAACAGGGAACCAAACTGAAAAATAAATGCAAATCTTTTTAACCTTATAGTTCAAGTATAAAGGTGTGTGGGCAATTTAATAATTCTTGTAAAACACACAGTTGGGCTATACATACATGATCCAACAATGAAAATCATTGCTCATTGTATGTAGAAATGTTTGTGACGTTCTTCTTAGCTATTTTACGCATACTTTACTTAAAATAGATAAAATAAGTAAGCCTCTGATAGTGACAGTTGATTCATCTTGACGTTCTGGGTAAATTCCGTTTCCCTTCTTCAGTTTGTAGTTTCTTTTCCACAATGAATTTCCAAGGTAACCGAACTTTAACGAATCTGAAACTATAGCTATTGGGGCAGATTATTATGAGAAGCATAAAACCAACAAGATAACGTTATCCACACATATGGTTGTATATATATATATATATATATATATATATATTCATCTATCTGTTTATTTCTTTCCTCAACTGAAAGAACGCCCATTATGTTTTCAACAAACAAATAAATACACACCTACATTGATATCGCCCGTGTATTTTTAAAGAATTATGTTCACAGTGCCTACATATTATTACCACTGTATTGTTTCGGTAAATCCAAAAATGGCTAACGACAATGTTATAAAAAGTCAGAAGGAAAGCAAAGAATGTAACGTTTATCTCTATTCTTGTCTTCTAAAATATTTCTTTTCATTTCATTATTTTAACACAGTACGTGCGTTCTGTATTTTTTTTTTTCATTTGTAAGTCCGCAGACATACCGCTGTGCCACTGGGGGGCACGTGCGTTCTGAATGTTAAATGTTGTTTTTATATAGATATATAGTAATTGTCAATTTGTGGATGTATATAAAAAGTGTACGAGTTTTCTTTCTCGTTTAAATTCTTTACTATATTTTTTATGTTTTATCTTGAGGTAATCCAGACATGTATTTTCTTATCTTAATATATAAACAAAGAAAACAACAACAACAAAAAAGAAAGAAACAAGAGCAAAATAATTATGTTAATTTTTAAAACTATTCTGAAAGAAGATTATTTTTAGTAATTAATTGATAATAATTTCCGGGTTCAGGAGCTTTTGTTCCAACAAAATATTCTACAGATTTAGCAATTTTATTTCTGTAACTTAATTTTGTGAAATAAATATTTTGATAAAAAACAAGCCGAAGTATACTATGGTAATCGTTAGGTTTATTCGGGGAACAAGCCGTTTTATTTACTAAAGCTGTTAGGTTTGAGTGATGTATGGAAAAAATGCAAAGCACATGATAACTGGTCTATCATTAAATTAACTTTGAGCATATTTATTTAAATCCACCAAACATAATCCTTGAACCTCTTAGCAAATGTATAGTTTTACACTGAATGCTAGCAATTTTCTATATCATCATCATCATCATCTCTGTATATGTACCTGCTTATTTCTTTCTTCAACTGAAAGAACGCCTATTATGTTTTCAACAAACAAATAAATACACACACACACGCACACATATATATATATATTTGTGTTGAAAAATAAATGAAAAACACGGTTTTTACGGATGGATAGTACAGATAGCTCTTGAGTAGTTTTGCGAGAATATACAAAAACACAAACAAACAAAGACTTGTGGGATAATCGTCATACTGTAATGAGCTTTGACATTGTTCCTTTTGTAAAATCAGGAAGCTATGCAATTTGGATAAGTAAAGAAACTAGCAATTAGGCGCCTATAAAGATGATTAGAGCTTACATGGGTTCAAATAATATAGTTTGTCTAAACGGTTACTGGAATAATAAGTTAATGAAGTAGTTAAGGAATTATACATATAGTTTATTTGAACATCTGCGAAACAATGATCACATCATTAAGTAAGTGTAGAAAGAAAGCTAAAATGAACGGATTTGCATATAAGACACCAAAAATATCCATTATGCTAGAGCTGGTGAAAAATAAGATGTTTTGACACGAGAAATTTAACAAGGTTCATCATCTGTGCTGCAAAGTTCAATACGATACTGAGGATGTTTATTTATCTAAGTCTAGAAGCTAACGCAGTTGACTTGATTGACAAATATAATAATTAAACTCTGCAATCTTTTCCTGATAAGGACGAAGCTGAATAAACATCTGCTCAACAACTGATACACTATATTAATTTTGTTTCAATAGATACATAACTCATCTATAAAATAGGTAGATAAACATTGAGACAGACTTTACCAATTACGTAGCCGCCAGCCCTGATAATTGAAACTATAACATTAGCAGCAGTAATTTTAGGATACTCATAATTACAGCTGTCAAAAAGGGACATCAAAATCGATTTATTTTGGACGTAATATATATATATGTCTACTTCTTCGTTTGCTTGAGGTGCGTAATAAGGTCAAGAGTCTCTCTTTCTATGTGCTTGTATATTTGTTTCTCTAGAGCTTGTGAAGTAATTCATCTCTCAGTCTTTTTACCCTACAGCAATCTTCCATTGCACATTCTTAATTATATCTTATATGTAATAACAATATATATATATATATATATATACATATATTATATTATGTTATGTTATATACTTAAAATAATCATAAAATATAATTACCTTTGACTGAAATATGTTGAAGTCATTGAATAACATTATTTTATTACGAATTTTAGAGAATCGTTGTTGTTGGTTTTAGAGCAAAGCCGTATTGGGCTATTTGCTGTGTTCATTGCGTGGATAAACGTACCGCAATCCCAACGAAGGACTTTAGAAGGTAATCAATACGTAAATCTTAGACATTCAATTTCCTAGGACTTCTAAGTACACAAAAAAGGAGTTGTATTATTGTGTAAGGGTTCTAAATATTTATTTGTAGGCCTTTTATTCTTACGCATGTTGTGTAAGTACACACACACCAGCACAGAGTTCTGTACTTGTGATTGATTTTCAGTTCATTGAGTAAATATGGAAATCTTTTTTTTTCCCTCATACATAATATTAAGTTGGGACAATATCTTAATTCTTGGCTTTTTATGAAATGGTACCACTCCTCAAAAGTTGCATTTCACTGTCTCTGAGAAACCTATGGTAGTGGTCATATTATACCCAGTAAAAAAAAAATCTGTATACGTTAAAATAAGTCTAATTGCTCTTTTAGTTAGAACTTATTCATAAGTTAGAGGTGTTTCGAAACCTGTATTTAGAACGTTTTTAGTTTAAAGATAAATGTCGCAAGAATAAACATTCATTTGGAATGTATGAATTTACTTATTCTTGCTGTGAAAATGAATATGTGGGCTTCGTCACAAAATTGGTAATCACTAGAATGATAATGATAAAACAAGTAAATATATAGGAATGCTGCTAATGTGGGAAGTTGTAGTTAATGCTAACGATTTTTTATCATGAGTGGAACTGAAAA